GCTGCTGTAGCATCTAGCTGCGAGCATATTTTTTAGCTGTTGTTTTTTGTGTTTGTTGTTGCTTTGCCACTGCTGTCGCTTGTGCCACACACACACACACACTCACAGCAATGCACATACATACACACATAAATTTGCGTATGTATAAGTACTATTGGACGACGAGGTGACACTGCTGCGCGTATATAGCTAACCCAAATTGTTGTTGTTGCTATGGCTTTTAGCTAGGGTGCTGCGTGCGACAACGACAAAATCTTGTGAGTTGGCCTTTGCCTACAAAAATATTATATAATTTTTCAGCGATATTTCATATGATTTACACTACACTGGCGAGCAAAAGTTTCTCTTCTCACTTTTTTCGTTTTTTGTTGTTTTTTTAATTTAAATAATACAGTAATGTGCTCACTGCTTGATATTAATGTTTTTTGGCGTAATTTCCGTGGTTTTTTTACAATGTCCTTAATGTCCTTGAACTTTATGCAACAATAATTATAACCGCAGCTGTGCTTTCGTTATATTTAAATATAATTTTTTTTTTGATTTTTTGGAATTTTATTTATTTAATTATTATTTTTTTTATTGTTTTTTGCATATGTTTTTCTATATCTGCCTCAGAGGGACACTTCACCTACCATTAAATGAGACGGCCGACAGGATTAGTCCGCACAGGACCAAAAATGTAAACCGCCCCATGCTTTGTCGTGAATTCCTTGTTTTGGTTCAATACTCCTCTCCAATCTTTGTGTGTTTCGTTAGTACTTAAGTCACTTCATAAATTTAGATTTTTTTCTAAATCAATATGTTAGGTTGCAAAAATTATTATCTGCTGCGCCCTCGTATTCTGCATTAATATAAAACTTTAATTTATATTTCGTCGTGAAATGCACTGCAACAAAATACGAAAAAAAAAATAAAAATAAAAAAAATTATAATAAAATTTTGCTGGCCAGAAAACGCGTTTTTGAATGCGGCGTATTGAAAATTTCAAACCAAATAAAAAAAAGATAATTAAATAAAAGAAATAAATAAATATAAAATTAAAATTTCAAATAATTATGTAGTGGAGCACACAAAGCACTAGATGATTTCGAAATCATGCATCCGCGCGTATGGCTGCCGTTTCACGTCATTCGTTCGGTTTCGTTTAAAAAATTCGTTTCGTAAAAAATTTTTGTTCGCACGACTAACACAAGTTCTTCTTTACAGTTATATATTTATTTCGTTTTAATTAATTTCATAATTATTTTTGCATAAATTATTTTCGTTTAGCAGGACATCCGTGGCTTGGGTAATCCTTTGTGTCCCTGCCAACGAATGCCAGCTAATAAATATATTTGATTTGCTTGTGCTATAGTTGTATGATTATAATAATATTGATGTCTATATATATATATTTTGCTTCGCGTTTCGCCAAGTGACTGCGTTTCTGCAATCCGCTGTATAACCGTTTTGCATATGCACCAAAAATATTTCAAAAAATATATATAAGTATGAAAACTGTTTCACCAAAAAAAATTCTTAATTCTGAAAAAATATATATTTTTAATACGAGTACGTGTATACGAGTCGGTCGATCTCTCCCGGTCCAAAACCAATTCGTAACATAGCAAGGAGATCTCACAATTTTACCTTGTGACCGCGAAATTTTTTGATATTTTCATATTAAAAGTCCACATAATATTTCACTGGCAAAATTTTAGTTATTTTTGAGTGAAACTCATTCGTGAGCACTTTTAGCTTATGGCTGAGCATAGCCAACGTGATGGCTTTCTGTTTGGTAACGCACTCAAGCGAAGGGAAACTCGTCTATTGCAGATTAATAATATAATATAATATGTTTGTTGAAGAGAGCACAGTGCAGCTGTAATGAAGTGAGTGAGCGTGAAATTTCACTATATAGGTTGGATAGTACGTAGTGTATAATCTTACGCACTTAGTGGGGTCTATTTTTGTATTTTCTGCGGATTTTTGGTTGAAAATGAGGGGGTTTTTAGATTTCAGGTCAAAATAAGGCATTAATTTTAATATTTTATATTATATAACAAATACCTGCTCGGTGTGTTTGAGACTAAAGAGTTAGTTAAAGGTAAGTTGACCTAAATTTCGTCAATTTTTTCCCTACAAGATAAACATAAAAAACCGAAGAACTTGGTTTTTTGAATTTATCACATAAATTGTGAGGTTATGTGAAACAGGTGTTCGTACAAAAGTAGCAGAGTTTTTCGTTACCAACTACTTAGCCATATAACTTTTTTATAAAAAATTTACCACGTTCTTAACCCTCCTCTTTCCGACCTCAGTGTGTCCGTAAATTATTTTTTCTTTAATTTTTGTGATTTTATCTTTCGTTTCCAATGTTTTTATCCTAATTTAATTTCTTGTTTTCAAAATTATCATCAGTTTTAATAGTTTTTGATTTGGTGATTTATGAATTTTTAATTTCATCTCATTGTGTCTTTGACGGTTTTGGAAGCCTTTATATTGGGTAGTCTAAAAAGTATTTAGTATTTTGTCAATAGATGTCGTTGCAGTCGTATATCTCCAGTGCTACAACTCACATTGTGTCATATCATATGTATAGTGTTGGAAAGGTGAGATTTTGAGCTTTATTTGGGCATAAAAAAATTAAAATCGGTTGAAAAAAAGTTACAGCTGTTTAAAAATGTGTAAAAATATTAAACAAATTCGCTATATTTTGAAGTTCTTGTATAAAAAGTCAGCAATGAAATATGTAAAGATGATCCTGTATCAGTTCGTGTAGCACAACAATGGTTCGCTCGCTTCCGTTCTAGAAATTTCGATGTGAAATATGCACCTCGCTCTGGTCGACTTATCGTTGAAACAGTTATTAAATTAAAGTTAATTATAGTTAAAATTATGGAAAAGGTTGACCAGGACCGTCACATAAGCAGCTGCAACATCGCTAAAGAACTTCGTCATCATATGGGTTTGAACCATTGAAAAAAATAGCTCGATGTTTGGGTACCACCATGAATTGTCTGTGAAAAATTTAATGGAACGAGTTAACATCTGCGATCCTTGAACAAATGAAACCATTTCTGAAGCGAATTGTAACATGATCAAACAAGACAATAATGTGCGAATACGATCACGGTCGAAGCGTAGTGAAACTCAACAAATGGTTGCTGAGTGTTTGATGGAATTGGAAAGGAATCACTATAAGCTGCTCCTGCCTGGTCGGACGACTGATTCTACATTTTATTGTCAAAAACAGATGAGCAATCGAAAAAAAAAAACGGTCAATACTAATCAACAGAAGGGTTTCGTCTTCCATCAGGACAACGCTGGACCACACACATTTTTGATGATTCACCAAAAACTGGGAGAGCTTGGCTGGGAAGTTTTGATGCAGCCCCCATTTAGCTCTGACCTTGCACCATCGGACTACTATTTATTTCGGTCAATGCAGAACTCCATTAATGGCGCAAAGTTGGCTTCAAGAGAAGCCTGTAAAAATTACTTGTCGCAGTTTTCCGCCGAGAAATCAGAAAAGCTCCAGAAAATAACCCTAACATTTAATTCAATATTTTCGTTTATGTTTTTCTAATGCAATTTCACACTGTCCTGTTATGGTTCAAAATAAGCATGACTTCAAATTAATGATTTATATGGTTATGTTAACTAGTTTTGGACTCCTGCTTTAATATTAAATATTCATTGACGATTAATGACGATTAGACGAATATTACAAAATCTAAAAATTTCTTACCACTCTCTGCTCAACAAGTGTAGAGAATAACTGTGCATTGTCTTCAACCACTAATTTTGGTTTTTAAAATTAGAAAATTTCGCACAATCACTCATAACTGTCGTTGAAAAGCGCTCATTTCGCGGCCAGCATGCGCTCAATCACTTTGAAAAATTTGACGTGCGGCTGTGAAATGAGTGCAACTCAAAGGCAGAAATATCCATAAGTGACAAATACGAGTAGCATACGATCAACTGGCGTAAAAGAAAGAATATTTCTGCTTGCTTAAGAGCTTAAGATGCCAAAAGCGAAGAAGAAGCAGCAGCAAAATTACTCGGAACATAGTTGAAGAGAAAGTGTGCAAACATTTGGATGCTGGCTAAAGCTAATCGTAAATTAAATTATTTAAATACACAAAGTTATATGCAGTTATTTGTGTATGAGTTAGCTGTGTAAGTGTTGCCAAGCGATATGTTGTATGCCACATTTTATTAAATTTCATGCCGCACATACGTCAATTGCGGTTACAGCATAATTTTGGTAAAATTCTGCTTATGATTGTGGTATGTCTTGGCTGAGTGCTACTGAGGGTCTGCAGAAGTGTGGACAAAAGGATTAAGACGAAGCAGTGGTGTGGAGATGTAACATTTTGGGCTTCACAGTGATGTAATTTTATAAAAATTAAATTAAATTAAATAATCTAAATTTGCTAAAAATACTATAATTAATAAAAATACTTTTAATTCCTAATCCCCCGCCTCTCATTCTGTTCCGGTCTACTGCCAATTGCGTTTTTTATGAAAAAAGTTTCTCTTAATCCCTTTAGGCTGCTTACACATTTTTATTAATAACGGCATATTTTTTTTTTTTTGTTTTGTTCTTGATTTTTAATAATTTCTCTGCTCTAGATTGCGTTCAAGTTATTTGACATTGGTAAGTGTTTGAAGCGAGCAGGCACAAATCATAAACATAAATTTAGCTAATATTTGTAGCACCTAGTAGACGCTGTGGCTTTGCCGCTGCTGTGCGCAACGCATGAATGAAAATCTAATGAGAAGTGTGTAGGTTGTGGAGAATTTTGTCGCAGTTCACCTTCTGAAATTGACTCACACCAAAATGAGTAAGTTGCCTTAGAATATATAAATTTTTGCAGAAAATGTATTAAAAAGCTGATCCACAATTACAATAGCAAAAATAAAGATATAACTTTGTATATTTTTTTTTATTTTTTAAATATTTTCTTGTTATAATTGTGTCAATAAAATAAAATTACCGCTAAATTAAACACTCGTTCGACATAAAAAAATATAATTTTCGCATTCTTATATACTACATTTAATTAACTTAGTACACAAATACTTGCTTTACACTTAATTTCAAGTAAAAATTTCTTTATTATAAATAAAAAAAATTACTTCGTCTCATTGCTCAGCGCCTTTTTCTTTGTTTTGGTGCAGTAATAGCGATCGCTATTCTCGATCCAATCGCAAACATTCAAAATTGTATGGAAAGCGGTGCCCTCCTTGCATTCGAATTCAACTGGTTCGCCGTGCACGCAGCGATAGTACTGTGGAAAGAATTTAAATAGCGTGGCATTAGTAAACAGGTTAAAAAAGAAGAAGACAAGAAACTGTAGTGCCCTTCACAGCAACATGATAGTTTATAAAAATATTTGTATCTTGATTTTGTTGGCTCAATTTGTATGGCAGCTATATGCTGCACTGGTCCAATCGGACCGATATCTTCAGCAATTATGGATTTGCTGTGGTTAATAATATTTGTCAAATTTCGTTAAGATATCTTATCAAATAAAAAAGTGTTTCTCACAAGAATTTCATTTGAATCGGTCAGTTTGTATGGCAGCTATATTCTATAGTTGATCGATCCCAACAATGTATAGAGAGATTGAAGCACTGTGCTAGGCAATAATCCATGCCAAATTTCGTTACGATATGTTATCAAGTAAAAAATTTAAATATCGGCAGTTCCGATAAATGAGCAGCTTCTTGATGAAAAAAGAGGTGAGTCAAATTTCAGATCTATAAAACTGAGAGACTAGTTCATATATATACAGAAGGGCAACGGTACACCGACTTGGCTTGTCAGACTGATCATTTATATATATATATATATATATATTTTGTTTTAATAGGAACTCCAGTATTTCCGTCTGTGTTTGACAAATTTCGAAGCAAACTTAACATAACCTGTTCAGGGTGTAAAAGTATTTTTGCTGAAATCTCACCTTTTGACAATCTGCATGCGGTATAAAGTCTTTATTTGTACAGTCAATATCGGGCATCACATGTCCGCCGCTTGCTTCAACAATCTCCGGTTTTGGTTCTAAAACTTCCAATCCACCAGTTTCTTCGCTACTTGATGAGGTCGGTGTTTCCGTAGTGGTTGTTGCCGTGGATGTGGTGGGTCTTGGCTTGGGTCTCGGTTTGGGTTTTTTGGAACCTTTGGATGGTTTCTGGATAAATACATAGAAGGATATAAATATGTTAGTACATAGAATAAATAAATTAATATTAATAATTTGTAGTATTTTTTGGCTGAATTGAATTTTTCGTTTGTAAAACATGACCAGATGTATAAAAAGTGTTGATGTTTGAGCTGTGATTTCAGTACTGTAACATATCATTCCACTAGAGTGTTGAAAATCATATAACTGCCAACAAATAGTTGAAAATATTGTCATTTTTTTTATATCATACAGGGTGCAACATGTCTTATCTTAGTATAGAAAATTTAAAGAAAAAGTACTGTAAATTAAAATTGAGATATTTTTGTTTAATTTCCCTCTCTTTTACAGATTTATTTTGACTAGTCACATAATGTGTAAATATTTATCGACTGTCTCAATTTGTTAAAAAATAACCCAATGATGGTTTTGTCGCATCCAAAAAATAATTTTTGGTTATGTTTAATAGATTTCGAAAGAATTTTCAGTGCCTTAATTACGATCCAAGTAGATGTACTTCTTTCAGAAGCCCTTTTTTGACAGATCGCGCGTGAGTCGTGTCAAGCTGTTATGTTATTTTTTTCAGTAAAGTTTAACATTTCATCATGGAAAGGCTTACGCCTGAACAATTACAATTTATTCAACTTTATTGCGAAAATTCATATTCAGCAAAAAATTTGTTTCGCGCGTTTTACTCAACTTAGGATGAAGTAATCGGCCTACTGAGCGTACTATTCGCAATACCATCACCAATCTTGGGACCCGACCTAGCATTCATTATTTGATAATATTCGACCGAATAGATAACGTCCAACACGCAGTGATATTGTAGCTGTCGCTGAGAGTGTTCACGAAGACCGCAAAGAGCCGGTCGGTCGGTAAATTGAAAAATACAGCTTGTGCAAGAACTGAAGCCGCTCGATCTTCAAGAAGATCTGACATTTTCGAGCCAAGTTTTGTTCAGATATGAGGCCCATTTCTGGCTCAGTGGATATGCAAACAAGCAAAATTGTCGCACTTGGGATGAAGAATAACCTGGAGAGATTCAAGAGTAGTCATTTCATCCAGAAAAAATAACGGTTGGTGTGGTTTGTGGGCTGGTGGAATCATCGGTCCATATTTCTTCAAAAGTGATGTCGGTATCAAGCCATGGTAACCGAATTTTGATGCCTGAAATTGTAACTCGTGATATCGGCGACATTTGGTTTCAATAAGAAGAAGTTGAACAAGAAAGAACATTTCGGTGAGCCGGTTTTGGGCCGGTCGATTGGCCATCGTGTGGTATCACATTGCTGGTCTTTTTCACCAGTTACCTGTCGAAATGCTCGAATGACTTATCAAAAATTGGGCTCAGTGGATGGACCATCTGAGAAGTAGCCGTGGGCAACTTTGGAAAAATATAATCCTCAAAAAACAAATGCCAAAAATCTTATTTTGAAAAATAATAAACACTCCACATTAAATTTGAAGTTTCTGTATTTTTTGTTTAAGTTATGGATCACTCTTTATATTAAAGGTGCATCTATCTTCAGATTTTATAAAAAGGCAAAAAAATTACGGACTAAAAGTTTCTACAAAAATAATTCGTGTTGCCCAAAAGGCAGCAATAAACATGAATATCTTCTTTAAACAATATACGATCATTTAAAAACTAATTTTACTCTACACCTCTTTCTTCGGCTTATCTGTCTACTTTGTGTTATTTTTATTAAGCTCTTTTTTTGTGCTCACTCATCTTTCTTTTAACGCTGCGGACATTTTTAGCGCACTCGTTAATTTTGTGCCTTAATTTTCTATTTTTGCGGAAGCTAATTTCGCAAACACAAGCAAGCCAACTATAAATAGGGAATCCTATTTGGCTTGGCATGGCCCAGTGGAGCAATGCTATGCGCGCTCACCTAGCATTTACATGCATGCATACATACATATGAGAATCACCCTAATACATGTCGGTGCAAAATCATACAGATTCGCGTACGCAGATTCTTGAATTTAACAAACAACTCAACAAACAATTTGGCAATTAGTTGAGATGCGAAAATTGTCTTTAATTTTGCTTCGCATTGTTCTGTTGCCATACTATAATATAATAATATCAGATAATATGGACTCACCTTGGTTGTTGTTGTGGTTGTTTGCTCGGCCAACGGTCGTTTTGTTGTGCTACTTGTCGTTGCTGTGGGCTTTGGCTTCGGTCGCTTCGTGGTGACATCTTGTGACACGAAACTGGCCTCGTCGGGATTCGGCGGCGTCGCTGGTGGTTTGGCCCACTCGGGCTACAAGACACAAACAAGAAACATAATAAATTACAGATGCTTGGCGTATTAATAATAAAAGAGAATAATGTGTAGATTTTGGCTCTCGTTTTTGACATCAAAAATTTGCGGCAATCAAAGAAAGAAAAAAGGCATATAACCACAAAACCGTTAATTATATACAAGCGCTAAACTTGGCACACTAACCCGCTCAGTCGTTTCGCGCGTCGGCTCCGGCACCGTGTAATCGTGCATATTGTCGTAGAGAATTTGCATTAGCGCATTCTCGCGCCCACACAAACCATGGAAATCATCCATATCAATGGCCCAGGTCATAGCGCCCGCATAGCCCTTTTGCTTAATATAGTCCATTTTGATTTGTACCGACTTTTCATCCTCATAGCCCACCCATTGTGTGTCTTTGTAGGTATAGGGCACCATGCCCTGCTCGTCCCATTGCACAGTCCAACCCTTGGTGGCATCCTGTACCTCGGTACATATTTCATAGTAAGCGAGGAAACCGCTGGCATTGGTGTAAGGTCCGGGTGCACCACCGCCAGCCTCCTTATTGATGTATGTACCCATGTTGTAGTTCTTGTTGGAATTGCTTAGTGTGTAGGTGCGTCCATAAAAGGGCACGCCAACGACCAGCTTATTGGCGGGGCAACCCATCTCCTCCCAGAGCGCAAGACCATCGTTCTGTATAATGAAAGAAGAAAAGTTTATATCCAACATGAATCGAGTTGTTGAGGCCATACATACCACATTTAGTTTCTCATAAGCCCACTGATCGTGCTTGCGCTTATAGAGCGGACTGTGTACATCAGCAAAGCCAGCCCAGTTGCCGCGTAGATCGTAAGTCATGGCGTGTATGGCATCTAGCAATCTGTTGGAAAGAATATATTTTTGAAAAATATAATGAAGAGCTGGGTCTAAAGACATTCGCTACTAACTCGCATAGCTCGGGCACATGATAGCCTTCCTGCAATCGGAACTTCGCTACTGGCACCGCCATTGTTATTTCCCAACCGCGTCCTTCACGATCGAAGGCACGTCGCAACTCTTGCACAAAGTATAAGAATTTATCCTTGTCGCCAAAAGTGCCACCGCGATCGGTGGCACCAGGGTACTCCCAATCCAAATCGAAGCCATCGAAGTCATATTCCTTCATGAACTGCACAACGCTGCGTATGAAACTGAGTCGTCGCTCACGTACCGCAACCATCTGCGAATATTTCGAACCACCCTCTGCCCACCCGCCGACGGCCACTTGTAGCTTTAGGTTGGGATGCTTTTGTCGCAGTTGTGTGAATTTGCGGAAACCATCTTGCTCCACATCCAACTCAGGATCGATAACCAAGATATCCCAACTTTTGTCGTTCAAACCAATAAATGAGTAGACCAGATGTGTGCACAAATCGGCAGGCACATCTTCGAGTCCATAACGTCCCACACCGGGGCGATATACGGCCCAGTTACTGAAGTAGCAGACAATACGTGCCGGTTGCTCATTGGCGACTGTGCTTGTAAGTGCCGCAGTTAGCGTTAAGCTAAGTAGTAATAGCTTTAAAGGAATATCTGAAAATGTGAAAGAGAAGTTATTGAATATTATTAATATAATTCAGTTTTGTTTAAGAGATTTTATATATTTGGATATAGAAATTTTAAGCTAAAATTAATTTGTTATCTATTTTTTATTTCCCAAGACGAAGTTTATAGAGATCATTCTGTCACGACTTGTGGCTCGTCGAATATTGGTTTTTAACTGGTAAGACGCAGCTGGCTTATCAGCATAGACCACTGATTTATTTAACCTCTTTAACATAGACATTAGTGTCGCTTTTCATCGGCATCTCCGATCCATTCCGGACTAACGTGGACATTGTTGGCTGCTGTATTACTGCGAAGAGCTCCCTTAGACCCATGGGCTTATAATGGGTCCGAAGAAGATACGCCCAAATTGTATCCTCCTTCAACTGAATTTGTGATAATTAGGATCACTGCGTCGCAGTGGCGACTTGTAGCGGATTACAGCTAAGAGGGTAGGTTGGAAGGGGAGTTTTTTTTTTACAAGGAGCTCTTCGTCAATTTTAAATTCAGTCAGTGAGGCCACTCTTGCTAGCTCACATAGGGAATAGGCGCCGTGAGCTTTTTTCACTGATACATCGAAGATAGGAGCGCAGGTGTAAGGGAAGTTTTTTGTTAGCAGCTCTCCATCAATTTTACATTAAGCACCACTTTAGTGGTTTCAGTCAGAAGCTACTGCTTTCATTTTGCTACAAAGAGCAGCCCCTTTCAGGAAGGCAAGCATTCGGTCCGACAGCAGAGCGGAAATACTAGCGTGAGCTCGCTAACTGTGCGCTAATCAAAGAGTGACTATCCTCACTAGAAATCTTAGCAAGCTACTTCACATTTGGGTGTCTATAAAGCCGATGAACTAGCCATAGTGTGACTTGGCTCGCTTACATCGGGATGGGAACGAATTAAATGTCTATTGGCGTCTTGAGTTGTAATATTGGACGAATGGACCACACAGATGCTCAATAGGCACTGGTCGACGACACTGTAATATCCCTTTCCCTATTGTGCAAGATACTTTTGGCTTAGCGTAGAACACAGGAGATCTTTTGAATTATTTTCCCTCAGCACAGTTCATCTTGCCGAAATCGTAGGGGTTCTAACTGGATATTGTACAATAGACAAACCTAAAATATAGGATGAAAGGCTTTGTCGATTTATAAGAGTGTTATGGTCTGGTGTAGAGGAGTTTTAGATAACATAACGAATCGGCGTTCTAAACAATCCAAGTGTGATCCCTGTTAGGATCGAAAATATAACCTAACCTACATGAACTAACGCAAAAGGAACTTATACTTTCAATAAAGAATAAGTGTGCCGCAAGTACTAGATATAACTTTTTAATTAGATCTGATCTGCCTTTAATTTATGGATCGTCGATATCGGAAGTCGAAACCTCAATAATGTTACTCAGACTGATATTAATAAAATTAAAAAGATTTAATGCACCAAAGTTCTGGCACCAAAATTACATGTGTTATGCAATCGACATGTGATAACATAGACATTATTTTAATTACTTAAAAACTAAAATCTAACGATGCTTCGCCTCTACTATACATTCCCAATTAGATGTAATCATATATCAAGAATTTAGGTAGTTGCCTTCGTATGTAAGACTATCAGGGAATAATAAATTGGAAGCCCTAACGCCACAGCTGTGCCACTCAATTAAAATTCTGCGAGCAAAGCGCATTTCAAGTACAAAACGCTTCCTTTTTGCGCGTGTTTTGCTACACATTTCACAATCAATTACAGCAGAGCAATAAAACAAATAATAAAACCTGAATTAAATGTGTGTAACAACAATTGTACGAGTATATCTGTATATAAGGATTCATGTATATATATGTATGTGTGTATTTGTCTGCGTGTGTACAATGGTTTAGGCGCTACAACAATTAACGCATAATTATGGTAATCGTAAGTATCACCTAACAATTGGCAATAACAAAAGCAAACACGGTGCACATAGCGGCATGCAATGTAAATGTCTACAACACAATAAATTGGTAAGGGTCTTAGACGCACATATCATTACCGTGACGCGTTGACTTTGACGTTGCCAAAATTAAAGAAAATCGCCAAGTGCTTTGCATATAAAATAATATAAATAATCGCGAAGCAAAAATTAAAATAAAAACTGGTAGGGAAGCGCTAAGTACGGGTGTAACCGATCGTTTTTATACTTCCGCCATGTGAATAATAAGAAACCTCACAGATTGATCAATATACATATAAGGTATAAAATCAAGCTGATGTTTGAAAATCCGAATATCAGATATCAGGGCACTAGGGGGTTCTCTGATTTCATCCATTTAGCCAATAGGATTCGCTGTTGGGAGATTGCAAGAAAGAAAGATTTTTTTTCTAAATTTTATTAAGATTTCTTATGTATTGACCAATAGAAGCGGTATAAAGTCAACCGAATTCGAAAATGTGAATACTAGGTATGTGGGGTTTAAGATAAGTATTGACCCGATTTTGCTCAAGTTTGGCACAAGCATACTGTCATCACAGAAATATTCTCTTCAAATTTTAAAGCTGGATATCACAGATTGACGAATTCTTTGGCTAAAAAATCAGCCATATACACTGGGGTCCACATATTTGGTCTCTGGCTCTCTGAAAAACCCCGATTTGAACAATATTTGCCATAAGTTAAAACCCCGACGACATTATTTGTGCAAAGCTTTGCTGTGCTAACGTCATATATATATATATATGAGTTGTATACTGTAAAGTGATAAAATCAGATGGATTCCAGAAAGTTGTTGTATGGGAAATAGCGTGGTTGTCATCTGAATTCATTCAAAAACCAACTTTAGTTGACATTGATCAAGCAATTCCTGAGATATAGCATTCCAACTAAAAGTGGTTGGTGCCACGCCCTTCGTCCAACTTTTACACTTACACCTATAAATCTCTAGGTTGTTATATTTTATGCTTGTGGTTCCTTTATTCAGTGATTTATCGTATTTTTAGTTGTTTTCAACATAACCGTTATACGGTGAGTGAACTGCTAATTTTCCTTTCCAGTCATTCCATTTTCACAGAGTGTAAACAGTTGTTAAATTGTCATTTTGTCAGCAAGTTGGGTTAACTTAGCTTTAGCGGTTTGGAAGATATGTTCATTAAACCATTTAGGGGACGGAGCCACGTCTACTTTTAAATAATCTTTAGCTTACAGGAGTGGGAGCCAAGAGACACATGTACGAAGTATCATTTAAATACCTTAAATTTTACTGAAGTCAGCACTTGTAACGACGGACAAAGAGACAGTCACTCGGATTTCAACTCGTCTCATCATCCTGATCCGTTATATATATGTAACTCTATATCTATGCTTTCTTTCCAGCACGCTGTGAAGAAAATGTAACAGCCGTAGCTGAGAGTGTACACAAACACCGTGTAGAGTCGATTCGGCGCCGTTCGCTGTAAGTTGGCGCCTTTTACGTCGAGATCTTTATTTAAAAGCGTACACAATAGAGCTTGTGCTAGAACTGAAACCGCTCGACCTTCCCAAAAGACATCGCTTCGCTCTATGGGCTCTTGAAAAGTTTGAAGAAGATCCGATGTTTTGAGACAAAGTTTGTTCAGCGATGAGACCCATTTCTGGCTCAATGGGTATGTTCCGCACTTGGGATGGTTCATATTTCTTTAAACATTATGCCGGTGGGAACGTAACCACAGCGATAGCTACCGCTATAGCGAGATGATAACCGACTATTTGATGTCTGAAATTGAAGCTTGTGATCTCGACGACATTTGGTATCAACACAGCACCAATTCCCACACATCGTGAAAACACTCCAGTGGCTCGGTCGATTGGCCAAAAATATCGTGTGATATCATACCGTTAGACTTTTTCCTGTGGTGATATGTAAAGTCCAAGGTCTATGCGAACAATCTCGCTTCGATTCAGACCTTGGAGCAAACCATCACGCATGTCATTCGCCAGTTACCAGTCGAAATGCTCGAACTGTTAGCTGAACTAAACTTATATACTCTCTTCGCTGCGTGGTGCGCGAGTTTAAAAAATCGAATTGATCATAAAAGAATGTTTGCGCAGCTTTTTTGATAGACATCTACATATGTATGTGTGTATTTAAGTGTGAGTATGAGCCTTAGCCGTGCTAGCACACACACTTAAACGCGAGCTGTTGCTTTCCTTTCTTTCATCATGCGTTGCAGACGTTGACTGAATTTTAAAATTAATCATTTTGTTATCAACCGCCAACAGACGCGCCTCACACTCACACACTCGCACACATAAACACACTTATGCAAATTGTTTTCCCGTCTCGGCGCGATATTACTTAATAAATATGCAATGCGGCGTGTCAATAGTTTGTTGACGTTCTCATATTTTACTTTATAGCCAATTATACGTCGTTGGCCTCCTTCATGCGCAAGTGTGTGATGTGTGTGTGCGTCTGTTTTAATTTCACTATAGGCGCGTACTTTTTTGGCAACATTAAGGTTATATGGCGGTTCATAATCCGCATCGGGAACACCCGCTATCAATAAACAACAAATAACACCCAACAACACTTGCGGTTACAACAAATTGCAACAACAGCTGCGTAAAACAAATGCATTTTCCATTTATGTCATGACATTCATTCGAGTTGTTTAAAAATATTTTCTTTTAAAATTGGCTGACTCTCGCGCTCGTGCGTTCGTTCACCGGCTGGTGTTTGATACGTAAACGGAGTTTTCCATTTTTACAAAGTGACGAAACATTAACGTTACATTGGCGTAGAGGATTTTCAAATGTTTTTATTTTACTTGACATAGTTGCTATTATAATTAAGACATATGTGTATATATAAAAACAGAAAGCAGTCCTTGAGATCATAAGAGGTTGATAAGTGCAATTTTAACGAAAAATAAATTTTTGGACTTTGGGCTCTAATGAGTTGAGTTTCGACTTCTTTAATTCATAAGTTTTGGTTTGAAATTTTTTATGTAATTTCCAGATCTCACCGAATTACAATTTAATTTAATTACATGAATTAAAATTTAATTTAAATACAATTTTAATTTGATTGGAAATCCAATTTTAAAAAATTAATTTTGTAAAACTTCTGCTTGGTAACTAAAAAAACATAATTAGTAAATAAGTATTTTTGGAAACTTAAATATTTGTTTCTATTTTCTATTTGTTTTCTAATTTTATTTTAGCTTATAAGCAGATAGTTTTTAAAATTATTATTTTTTAATTAATTTTTATGTGAAGNTAATTTTCTTATGCCAAACCTTGGATTCAAATTGAATTATTAATTAATTATTTAATTAATGTTAATTTTATTTTTGATCCCAAAAGACTAGGACTAAAAACTAAAAACAATTAAAGTTTGAAATTAAATAATCTTTGATTAAAATTTGTAAATATAAATCGTTTGAATAGTTAAGAGTGCCGTCCACTGCTCTAGGGCATTGAATATGTTGGCTTTGTCTTATTAATTTACTTATTTGATTATTTTTTTATTAAAAATTTGGCATAACTATGTTTTTTTTTCAATTCGATATTTGGGATTAAAAAATAAAAAAAAAAAATATTAAAACTTTAATTTAATGCATTCGCAACCCTACTAATTAGTCGGTAAATATTTTATGCTGCTTAAATACAAAATATTTTTCCAATAATATAAAAATATTTAAAAAAAAAAGATATTTCCTAAACTATTAAGTTAAATTCCGAATATTATCTTGGTTATTCGTTTTTCCTCAGTCTAATTCTCTAAGCCAAATGTGTAGTTAAGACGGAGGAGTAGATGGAAAACAGGAAACAAGTTTTTTTTTTTTTTACTGATGGTTCGAAGCCTATGAAGTTCACGCAAGTGAGGAAAGTTCTTCATTCATGCGGGAGGGACCAGAAACGATTATATTACATATGGCTCATGCAGTTCACGACCTCCGGGTTTAGACCAAGTTATCCTCTGGGTAGCCAAAGAACATCTGTTTGCAGTCGAGCTAAAATTAGTGGACGAACCATCCCTCCTCAAGGTTGTGCGCTGGTTTGGGGCCCTCCACATAAAAAACACCTCATTGAAAAGAAGTGAACAGCCTTGGATGAGAGACTTACTCTTACTTATACTATAGTATAGTGATGACAAAACAACAATATTGGAACTGATATTACAAAGCTGATTCACATTGCATCGACTTCATGAATAAGGTTCATATGAATCTTACAACGTAACAGATTTGCTTGGTGCTTTAAAGCATCTTCACTCTTATTTATGCAGCCATTAAGGGGCTACATAGGTTTCACAGCTTTCCAAAAAAAAAAAACAACACACATTTTTTAGACATATTTGAACTGTTTAACAATTAAACATCTCTAGAATTTTGTTATACATTTTTAAATTGATTCGAGTAATAGTTTATATAAAATATTCAGTTAAAGTTGCGAGCTCGTGGTCAGCTATATAGTCTTTGAATATTTTAGACGTGTTTTTCTCAAAATTTTATATCCAAAGTCGGTTTACAAGACTTCTCGCCTACTAATCCAATGCCTACGCATCTACTAATTTACAAGGTCTCGAAGGAGGAGTTTTTTGTGCACTTATGACTATTAAAACAAAAAAATTTCGAGAAATTTTCACCAAAAATTGTACTTTATTTTAATTGTCTACCAAAAATACAATTTTCACATTTTTGTTTTTTCATCATCTAATAACTAGTTTATGGTCTAAATTAAAACAATTATTTCTTCTTTTACTTCTATGATTAAAGACTGCCAGAAATGACGACGTAATGACCAATTTGACTATATTCCTTTGAAATTTATAACTATAAAATTTTTGTATAGGAAAAGAGATCGTTCTTTGTTCGAGAGGACCGTTGTAATCACTTAAAAAAATAATCTGGTTCGTTATGGCATCAGAAAGGGTATGTTTCAAACAGTCTGACTATCAGATAAAATTAGAAAAAGGAAAAAATTTAACACACAAAATAATTTAAAAAAGTAAAAAAAATTATAATATAATTGAGGTATTACAACTTGTCGTAAAGCATCGTAAAATCATAAAATTATACATTTTTACACTTGTTTAATTGTTGTTGGATTACATACAAACATGAGTTAACATAATTACAATTTTCAATTATACATATGTTTTCGGATCGTTATAACTCATAACCTTACGTTACCATGTGACACCCCTAAATAAATAAATATAAAAACAAAAAAATGGTAAAAATATTTGAGAAATAATGATGTATATTGATTAACTAAATTATTAGATTTGTACAAATATATATGTTTTTCTTTTTAAGAAATCCCGGGTTTTCCGATTTATAGATTTTAAATGAAGATGCGGTGCGCTATGACTTGTAAAATTCGATTGCTTATTTAAATAACTCGAATAAATCTCAAACACTCATTGGTATTTTTACCAGCAGCCAAGTTTTGCTGAATAAAGTTGTACTTTAAAAACAAGTATTATCCATCATTAATTTTTTTGGGTATAATATTACAGGGTATGCTACCAATTGTATAACATAATTTTTATAATAATTTTTCAATTACTAATTCAATTATTTCCTCGAAGGCATCCTTTGATAGCAAAATCATATAGTGCCTTTTTGAGCTATACAAGAATCTATATTATACAAAAACTCTTAAAAAATAAAATTATCCCAAATTTTAAAAATTTTCATATCATTTTTTTTTTTTTTTTGTTTAAATTAAAGAGTCACAATTATTCACTTGATAATTTTCCGTTTTATTTTGTAAATATTTCAACGCAACAAAACACTGCAAAAAAGCACACGCGCACATTTCCTCCCACATTATTGTCAATTTTTATAAATTTTCATTCAAAAAATAACTACATATACAACACTCGATACTGTTATTTTATTATATTTAGTACAAACATTTTGACAGCGCTCTTACCCATGCTGTACGCGCGAGTCTTTGACGTCGAATGACAGTAGCTGCGCATATGCGTTACGTTTTTATTTGCGCCTTGCCGCCCAACTGACAAGCATGTCGACAGTAACGCTTTCTGCCGTTGCCCATTGCGTTCTCAGCCGCGCACGATAAACAACAGTGACAATAACACGCGCTGCGACATTTCCGACTATGTTGAAGTAATATACACGCGTATGCATGTAAACATCAACAGCCTGCGTGCTTAAATACATGCCGACGTGTGAAAGAATGAAAGCACGCATTGTCACCGAACCGCAGCAGGTCTTACGCTACAACAAAGCTAACCCCTGTGATGTTGTGTGTACACCCTCTTTACTTTGAATTTCTTCGCAACTTTCTTATGGTTTGTTGATTGCGCGCTTTTTGCTACCTTCGCGCAAGAATACGGCGCAGCGTTTGCCTAAAGCCCATATCTTGAATGTTGCTGCAAGCTGCCGTCGCTTATCTTATCGCTTGCGCATATTTTATTGGCTTGTTTTGCTTGTTATTTCTCCGGCAACTTTCTTCGTCTTTTGTTATTCAAAAAATCTAGAATTACAATGGCAAACTCGTTCTGCTCGAAATCCAGATCATGTATTTTTATGTGACCAACGCAGCACTTGTAAGCAAAGCAGCCTCCAGCGTGTGCGATCCTCGTCGCTCCGTGCAGTGAGGCCTGCATTTCCACCTTTTATTCTGACACTCATTTCTTTGCTACTTAGTCATGCAGAGAGTTCTGGTTGTAAATTGTTATCTTGTTGCGGTATTCTGCGACTGCCTGGAAGCAGGTACATAGGTTTCCGTTTCATATTGAAATGATAAATCTTATTTAGATTGAATAACAACGGAAGATTGCATTGCATTCCGGGTCGAATGGTCAGTAAGGCTTCGCAGTATGTTGTGGCAACGGCAGTTCATTGCTCTTGGTTGACTTAGTGGGCAGGTGCTCCAGCATACTCTCTTGCACATAACGGCAGTTATTTGTGGTAATTGGGTTAATGTGAAAGTTGATATTTATGCGCGCATTTATTCGTGTTCAGTTTGGTGTTACATTTTATATTCACAAACCATGAAACCGTTTGATAGGTGATGCTTTATTAAATAAAAATAAGTGAAAAAACTTCTGACGCTGCTTCACGCCTCAGCATAAACTTAAGAAGCTTTGGACTTCGGCCAGCTCATAAGGAAGTGCATACTGCCTCGTTATGGCATCTTCTATAGGCCAAACACGAACTGCAATTCAATCCACATCAATAAGTAATCATCTTTAATTGAAGAATAATATTCTAATAATATTTTACAATACATCAGATCCATAGAAATTACCAGATGAGTTGAATTTTTTGCTTTACTATTGCTCCCCACGGGATGATCACTACTGGAAAATATTTCTGTGGACAATATCATGTTTTGTAGCTAAATCTTATTTTCATAAATCTTGTGTCAACATAACTTTTGATACAAAGGTATTACCTTTCGATACATATAAAACATTTTTTATGTATATATTTTTTTACTATTTATTTAAGAGTTATAGGCGTGAATTGTGAGCGGTAGCCGGTAAGAATTTAATAATCTGAATCTGAAAACACAAGCCTACTAGTTATACAAAGCCTTAAAAGTCAGACGAGAGATAGCTGAATACATACCTCGTTTTGGGCGACCTTCGAGCTCTTCAACTGATGAAAATATTAAGAAGCAAAAGATATGATGCTTGAAAATCATCAGGCAAGTGTTAAAGGGATGGCAAGACAGCTTGAGCCCGTTCGAATGATCTTGGTGAAGATTTTTAGTATGTATTGCGTTTTTGCTCAACTCATTTCGATAAAGCTGATTTTTCTTTATCAAAATGAGAATCGCAAACAGATATCTTTGTGTATGCTTGATGGTGCGAATTTTGATCTCACATTCATGTAGAGCATTATGGCTGCCGATGTGACATGGGTTTATGAGTTTGGCATACTACAAATAAGTCAACAATCATCTGAATGGAGGGGAAAAAACAAGCCGAAACCAAAAAAAAAACCTCGCCAAAACCGCTAAAAAATCAAGGTGATGTAAATTATTTTTTTCTATATTCGTGATTTGGTGCATTATGAATTTTAACGGAGGAAGAGATGGTGAAATTAGCAGAACATCTGGCGAAAACGGCCGGAATTGTGGAAGAACAATAAATGCATTTTAAACGTTAATAATGCATCGTTGCTTCTAGCCGCGATTGTGAACGAATTTAAATCCAAACACTCAACAAATACCATCGATCAACCACCGTATTCACCAGATGTAGCGCCGTGTGATTTTTTTTTTGCCGCTCCGTGGAACGCATTTTCAGTCGATCAAAGAGAAAACAATTCGCTGAAGAAGCTAAAGGTTAACTCAAAAATAGCTTATGAAAATTGCCTTGAGGACTGGAAAAATGTAGTACATCTAATGAGAATTTCTTTGATTTTGTTTACAATTCTCGGGTATTTCCTTTTGGGTGCTACAAACTTCGTGATAAACTAAATGTACCATGTTCAGGGTATAATTAATTCTGTATGCAATTCATTTATATATGTAAGTAGTATTATTATTTTATTATCACATAACTTTTCTGTATAAATGAGATTTGATATTTCTGTTCACTATAAAAACCTGATAAGAAGACAACTTTCTCCAGCAGAAACAGCGGAAATTAATTTAGAAATTGCTGTTTTACTTGAAAACATTATTTATCAACACCAAAGTTCATAAAAAAATTTAAAAGGAACAAAGTTATTTTATTTTTGTTATCGAAAGATAAGGTAATTTAAGAAATCGGCTAGAGCCTGCAAACAGTTCTGGAATTTTTTTTTTTTTATTATTTGTAAAATAATAATACAATTATTACGAGTATTATACATTAAACATAAGGAGCACTAGCTACAGAGGCTTTCAGTTTATCTGGAATTGTTTATAGTCTGAATTCTATTCTATTCTTTTAATGCGTTTTTCTCAAAACTCTACTTTTCAATTTGGCTTTTCGACTTTTTTCCCAAGTCAGCCATTTTGTTAAGCTGACCCCTTAGTAAAATTTTTGCAATTTTTTTTTTGCATTTTCTGTTCCCTTATACCCTTAGAATTAATGTAGAAACCCTCTTTACCATTGGAAGGCTTCGAAAAAGTCTCAGAAAAATAAGCGTATACTAAACACTAATGATTACTTTGATGTGACATTTGGCACTGATAGTCAAAATTATTAAGACGAATTCATTGCGAAATTTTAATTAAAAAGTCTTACTATTTTTGTCCACAGATACATGTCAGAGAAGGATGGAACAAAAGGATATTAAACAAGTATTGTAGTGGTAGTTATTAAAATGATATTAAAATACAAAACCTTAGCTGAAATACAAATCTTGCGTAGCCAAATTTCTGCAACACTCTTAATAATTTTTAAAATTGGAACTAACAAAATTCACTGCCAAAAACTTTAGCTTTAGTACGAATTTTGTTTCCACAGTTATTGGAGTATAGTTTTCCGCTCTTTACAACAATAAGAATAGGCATACTTAATTGCCAAATCTAATATCAATGTCGTAAAATGGTTCGGCGGTCGTTGTGGTTGTTGTAGTCGAAGTGATTGGGGCCGCTGTCACCAAAACCGGCGCCGGTGTAGTTATTGGAACTGGAGCGATCGTCGCCTGAGTAGGTGCTGCTGGCGGCGGTGTTTTCGCTGGTTGGGGAAGAGCTGGTGAAGTTTCTTGGGGGGGCCACGGTTCAGCAAACGGAACTGGAGGTGGGGGACTATTGTCAAAATCTGGTGGTCCTGTGAGTATTTAAAGTTTATATCAGCAATTCTATTATTTTATACAAAAAATTGCTCACCCTCATAATTGGGTGGGCCAAAATCACCTGGAGTACCATAATGACCTGGAGGGCCAACACGGTCTGGAAGTGGATGTCCATAATAGCCTGGAGATCCATGAACTGGTGATCCATGTCCATGTGGTCCGTGACTTGGAGGTCCATGGCCTGGAGGTTCATGACCTGGTGGTCCTATAAATACAAACGAGTATGAATATATATTAAAGTAAAACTGTTCTGCACTATAAAACTTTCGCGAGTCAAAATTACCATAATGTGGAGGGTGTCTATTAAAGCCAGGTGGCGCTGGCGGTAAAAAATAAAATATACATATTTAGTAAATAATATTTGCAGAATAGAATCATTAATATCCTATTTCATTCTATTGCGCAGCATACCTCCATAAGGTGGGCCAAAGTGATTGCCGCCGTGGAAACCTGGTGGTGGATTGTTATGAAAACCTGACGAATATTCATTCGAATTATAATCATAATAATCTAGCCAAGCTGATGATACTGGTGGCTGTGGACCGTCACGTTGATGTTCATGATGCACAACAGTGCCGGTGGATGGTTGATGTTGATGAGATACTATAACAGCAGTTGTC